AAAAAGAATATATAAATAAGTATATCTCCAGCAACCAACATATATGTTATGTCCCTAAAATAATATTATATACCCAGGTCAGGTGAATTATTCACAAATGCACAGAGAATTTTGTGATAGATTTTATTCAGTAACTTTTACTTCTGGGGATTCACATTTCAAAGCACCGTCTTACGTTGCCTAAAGATATTGAAAGTTATCTAATACAAGTTCAAACTTTTATATAAAATATCATTTAACAGTAGGTTTTAGGTCCTCTATATAAATTATTAAAGAAATATGGAGATCAACAAGAAAAATACAATCAACAAGGAACAGCTAAAGTCCAGGGGATATGCAGGTAGCAGGATTAATTTAGGTCAGACCTAGTGCAAAAAAAATAATGAAGGGTTTGATGGAAAGCCCTTGCCGTTTTAATTGATTTTAGAGCCGGTGATAAAAGGATTGGGAAAAAAAAACTTTTAAAAATTTGAAAAGGCCATGAAAGGAAACCTGTAGGATTCAATGGCTTCATTCCAACGCAAGAAGATTAATTAGTTGAATAGGAGGTATCGACTTACACCAGGATTTAGTCAATTCTCTATAGGTTCTGATTTTATCTACTAGTAGATCTTGAAAGTCTTGATTATTAGAATTATGGAAAATGGTGATATATATCGTTTTTCAACATGTTTACAGATAAATATAATTATCTGCTACAATCACTAGCGGATCCAGAGAGGGGCGCGCATCCCCCACTCCTGGGAGGTGAGAAAAAAAATTGGTCTTGAAAACAGCAACTACACATCCGACGCTTTTATTATTATTAATTTAATTGAAAATGAATTGTATTATGTATTTAATTTTGATTTATACTTTTTACTCATATTATAAACTGAGCGGGCCAAGACGCTTGCAACAGGCTTATATTTAATAACTACCCACACATATATTCACAGGGTATCCCTTAATTAGAGAGAAGTATTTAAAATGTTGATAGTAGACATCAAGATCTACAAAAAATTGCATGTAAACAATTGCCGAATATCCAGCAGAAAGGTAGGAAATTTAAGATTTGCGTTTTTTTTTTTTTTTTTTAAATGAGTCACGTTGTTTGTTGAATGGGAGCGATAAATTAAAAAAAAACTTTATTTAAGTAACTAAACATTGATTCATAGTAAACTTCACAAAATTTACTTTAAACAAAAGTAGAGTAACCATTGTTAAAACTATTTAAAGAGAACTATTGGTCGGACAACACAGGAAAAACAAATTGGGCGGACAAGGCACAAAAAAAAATATTATATATATATATATATATATATATAATTATATATATATATAATATTTTTTTTTTGTGCCTTGTCCGCCCAATTTTTTTCTGCTGCAGTTCATGCAAGCACGAATTTTTGTTGGGAGCAGTCTATGGTCTAGAAATGGGCCCACAGTGTCTTCAAAAGTTCATCTCAAATAATAGTAGTCTTGCATATGGTAGATGATCTTTTTTGACGATCACCCACGTTTGAGGTTTTCAAAAAAGGAATGCTATAGGTTTTTTTTTGTTTTTTTTTTTGTTATGAGACAAATTTTTTAAACTTTTTTCCGAACCGGAGGGTGAGGACGAGGAATTTAAAATTCCCTCCAGCACCGGGACGCGACGTCGTAATTTTTTAATCTCATAACTTCAGTTATGTCCATGCTGTGCACACGCGTTAGCCCATTCGGCCACCCCAGCCGCTTCTGAGACTTAACTGCGTGTTCCATAACACACAATTTAGTGTCCCAATTATCCGCCTTCCTCTTGTGATTTTTTCAAGATGTCCTTGGAGGAGCATCCATCCTCAGTTATCCATCTGCCAAGATATTTGAATTTTTCATAATTTTCAATTTTCTAGTGATAAGGCTCTTACATTCCCGTTAAATGCCATTTATTTTGTTTTATTCCGTATTAACCTTCAGACCCTAGGCTCTATATTCTTACAAGAGCTTCCTTAACATGTAGCTGACATCTTCATCATCATTCGCTATTATTACCTAGTCGTCAGCAAACTGTAAGGTATGAAGGTATTTATCTTCTATCTGTATTCCTATCCTCATGTAATTTCTACTTCCATACTTTTAGAACTTCTTCAATAAATAGATCGAAAGTGGAGATAAAGAACACTCTAGTTTGAAGTATTTAGTGATTGAGAAATGGTTTGTAAGGCTGCTTCCTATTTTTACCCTCGCATGGTATAATGGTGATAGATTATACAAGGTTTTAATGGTTTAATTAGATAATTTCCTATTTCTATAATCTGTAAGGATTCCCACAGTCTGCTCAATGGAACCGTATCATAGGCTTTTTGCAGGTCTGTGAAAGTATACATAATCAATAAATATTGGAAATTATACCCAAATTAATTCGATACATAAACGAGTATCTCTTCCTTTTGTTTTAATGGTCACAGTAAAATTAGAGTACCTTCCCAACCCTATTCCCTGGGTATTTTTAATATACCTTAATATAGCTCCAAAGAACCTCATTTCCTGTTACCGCCGGCAAGGTGCTAAGACTTTAGAAGCTAGAAGCAATAATGACGGTCTTCACTGAGAACAGGAGCAGTAAAGAAGTTAATTACTTTAAAGAAAATGGGTCACTCCTACTGAAACCATTCTTCCTACTTTCCTTTAATTCATTGATTAACACCTAGATGTACAGAACTTGCACTTCATTTCAAACCTCGTTAGGTACAGTTAGGAATTAAGTTGTATTTTATAAATATATGAATAAAAAATAAAGAGAATTAATTAAACTATTGCTTCATTTTTTGTACCGTTAATAATGATATAGGTCACCCACATTTCCAGCGTCCAGAACAAATAAAAGCTAAACGAATTCCATACCAATTTTCAGGCTCTAAATATTTAAACAAAAAGTTGAATAAATGAAAAACACTATACAAATATAACAGGAAAAAACGAAAAATGTACTGACGAATTATAAAGTAAACATTAAATGATATTTATAAACTTATACCTAGTATTCTGAAATATTTATGAATTAAGAATCACCAAATTAGAATAATAATCATAAAAAATGGTGGTTGACTCATGATGTGTATTAACTAAAGAGAAGGTACTGGTTTTTAACCAAAGGGGGGAATGTGCACCATCTATCAACCGCTAGGATTTTGCCTAATACATTTAAGGATCAGGTAGTCACTATGAAACAGCAGGATAAGACCAAAGAAGATCTGCTAAACTCAAGAATTCATCGAAGTATTATAAAAAGAAAACTGTTATAAACCTCTCCTATAACCCAAATCCGGAATCCTAGTGTTATACATAATATCTAGCTAATATATTAGCTAACACTGAATAGAATGGTTTATTCTTATACATCTTCAGATTTGGGAAGAATCGTTTAATTTTTAATATATTTTTTTGACTGACCTAAGTTTGGATGGAAGGAGATTAATCCTAAGTACCCACGGGTGAAGCGTTCAGGAAACTTCTAAGCTCGTCACCACGAAACAAATTGCGTTTGAGGAAGTAAGGGCTAAGCCCCTACATCTTATCACAGACAACCACTATCTGTACTGCAAAGCCTTCGTATACGGGAGGAGGGAGGAAATGGTGAACTGTGGGCTGGAGGGTTGATTGGTTAAGTGGTTTGATTAGGAAGTGTGAAACATCTAGGTTATCTTCCAGGAATAAGGAAACTGAAACACGTATTTTATCTATTATATTAATTAATTAAGAGAGGCAAAGAAGAAAAAACCCGCATTCGTGCAGATAATGTTATTTATAAAAACTACACATATGGACCAAAAAAAATAAAGTACTTTAAGACAGAAAAGATACCAACCATAGTGACAATCAAACAATAAATTACACTAATAATAATGCTTGATTTTTAAAAATAAAAAGTATTACATTTAAGTAATATTGTGTAAAACATTTATTCCATAGTTTATAAATAAACCAGTAATGAGTTCCGGAAAGACCCAATTTTGGGTAATATTGGACTGTATTTTGTATAATATTAAAAATGTCTGATTCTTAAACCCACACTATTCAAAAGTGAAAGTATTGTCACCAAAATTCTCAGAATGACTGAATCCAGCCAGCTGTTCTTTAACAATCTGCGGACGTTGCATGGTTGACATAGGTATTGGTGCCACGTCATTTATGAGTGTGTTGATTTGTCATAACAGAAAAAGAAATAAGTACTAGTGAAGGAATGTAAATCTGCTTTCATTTGTTCCAATACAATGTAAAAATTGTACCTATAGAATTAAATTATTATGAAAAAAAAAATAATATATATATGTATATATATATATATATATATATATATATATATATATATATATATATATCTGACGTCCATCAAGGGATAAATCAGAATGTTCTCGTCCAAGAATAACGTTAACATCATTCACATGGGTGGTGCCGTAGTTTATTGTCCCCCCGTGCCTCTTATACCAATATATTTTATTTTATTCGTCTAATTCACAAGAAAGTTTTATTGACAGGAATGAATAGTTTTTTTATTAAACAATAATACAACCTGATATTTATAAGGCCAATAAGTATTAAGGCTACAATTAGAGGAGTGAATAAAGTATTCAAGATTAAAAAAAAAAACAAAAAGAAAACTTTTAATTATAATCATATAAAGTGATGTGATTCTTATTTTAATAAACAATATTGTTGCAGGGCTAATCCTTATTAAGTATAAGGTAATAATGGCCTCATGATTAGCATTCCGAGAACTCCCTAACAAGGCTCAAATTATGGCATATATAAAAACATTTAGCTCCTTAACTTTAAAAATGAAAAGAAAATATATGAAATAGGATGCTATAAAGAAAATCAAGAAGAGTAATGAGCATACTTTTTTTGCTTCCAATATGTCCGACTTTAAACATGATAATATAATTTCGAATAGAAGGAACAAAACAAAAAACTTATAGATTAAATTCAGTATCTATCTAAAAAACTAAAACTAAAATAATAGTGTTGTAAAAACTCACCCATTGATGGAGTTGGTGCTGAGAGGTACGCTGTCTGTGAAGATGGACTCCCTGCTGATGTCGTCAGCCATAGCGACCTTGAGCTGGTGCCCGAAGGAAGCGAGATCCTCGCGGAAGACCTCGGAGGCCGGAGTCAGTGCCCCGGAAGTAGGTGGGGGTACAGGAGTAGACACCGGAAGGGGTGTAGTCTCATCGACCTCTTCGGGCTCCTCGTTGTAGATGTAAAAGTAGGCCATGACCAAGTATATGACGGAAACGATAAAGGACGGGATGGGTATGGCCATGGCATAGACCAAGTTCATGTAGACCTGCCACATGTCCAAGTCGGTGATGACCAGTCCGGGCTCCAACCTCGAGTAGTAGCAGGAGAAGTTGGAGCCCTCCTTGACGTGGGCGGCCATCCAGACGGAACAGTTGAGCATCGGCGGGTACCCGCAGCCCTTGACGTTAGGGAACAGCCGGGCCCCGATGTAGTACCACTCGGAGCCGTTGGGCGCCAATCCTGTGAATGACTCGTCCTCGACTCCTGGCGGAAGGTCGTCCTCGTACTCGTCGGGATACACCGGCCGGAGCGCCCTCTCCACTCGAGCTGACCTGACAGCTTCGTCCTCCACTTCCACCTTCTCGGAAAGCTTGTACTTAACGGTGATCTGCGTACACTCGTACACCTCCTTAGTGCAGCCCTCCTTGCATGAGGTCCACGACGAGCAATTCGTCTGACCCTTAGTTGTGATGGAGCTCATGGTGATGCAGAAGGCTGGCTCCTCATCGAACTCCATAAAAATGGTGGTGAAAGCTGGTTCGATGACAAAAGGCACGAGGAAGAGAAAGGCGAATAGGCTGAAGGTGGCAAGGAGGATGAAGCTGGCAGTGGTGTAGAAGAGTAGTTTCTCGGAAAAGGTCTGCTCGTCAGCCTTCTTCTCGGCCATGCTAGCTCTCCATTACCTGCAACACTGATCCCTCTGTCAGCCGGCATGTACAAGCGAGGTGTCCCGGGGCCCGGCACAACGCCTCCTACCAGCGCCGGCTACTCTCAACTCTTTAATCTTTTATCGAACGATTCCATGAAGGCAGGGAATGAACAATATTCAGTTGATACTAAAATAAACAGATGACCGTTCCAACAACAATGGATCAATGCTAAATGTCAATTTTAAACGGGGTCAGGAAGAAGAAAAAACCATCAATTAAATATTTCTCTGGTCGCTTAGTTTTAAAACCCGATTAGATGTAATTTCAATAACCATAATTATAACTTAATTGGCAAATAAATAATATTTATAAATAAGGCTAATGAATTCTAAATTATATTTACAGTTTATTTCAGTTCCTTCTTTTTTCATAAATTTATCAGATTTGCTGTTAGTACTGTATGATTATTATTAAACATATCATAAACTCATAAATATCCTCCCAATTTATATTAAACAAGGGGTAATATTTATAACAATGGTTTTGATTGTTTCACAGTACACGAATTCTGTGTTATTTGTGGATTAAATAAAAAACACCAATAGCGTCGAGTGTCGACTTATTGTAAAATTTGAAATTTTAGTATATAAAGAGGAGTATTTTGTAACTTTCTATATTTACATTTATAAAACTGCAAGAGAAAAAAAAAAGTTCCCATAGTTTGAATATCCAGTAAGTATTCAGGATAATATAACATGTTCGATAGGCAGATTCGAATCGATTTAATTTGTAATATATGGTGTAATAAGTGAAAACAGTAGCAAGTTAATTGTTTAGAACTTCATTATCTGTCGACATATTGTTAAAGTTTAATAGCAATAAAGTTGTGGTCGGATGTCGGAACAAACCAACGGCTGCAGAATTTAACCAATGGAAGCGAATAATTAAAAACACTGTATTATATTGGTAAGCGCGCATTAACGTACGATTGTATATTTTTATCAGTTAGCGGCATATTAATAATAGTTAATTATTGATCCAAATTGAAAACATTAACTGTTAAACAATTTTATACGGCAATAAATTGCATGTTTTGAGATATTTTGCATTACTATTTTTTTTTTATTTGTTGCATGAAAACGAACGTAATTATATAATGGCAGATGGGACTCAATAGGCAATAGATGGTTATATACTTGTAATATATTCTCAGGGATTATTTTAATATGACTATCAGTAAACGTTTATAGGAAAAAAAAAACTCAACCATTTTCGTTCAGATTTCATCATTTTTCCATCTTCTAATATATTAAACCAAAGGCTGTTTTTTTTTATATTTTAGATGATGTGTTTTGAGATATCCAACATTCTGAATTTTAAAAACAACTAAAAAAGATTTTCTTATGCTACATAATAAATGAAATGACGTGTAAGTAGATATAAAACGAGCTAGTGAACATTCCTCTTGCTCCACCGTTTTTAAATCTATGATTACTTTCATAATCAAAAACCTCTGAAATTAGTCGGTTTCCGCAATATATTAAAATCAATATTTAATAATATAAGTGTTATTTACTTAAATGTTGTGAATGACATACCAACAACTATGAAAATCGGAGACAAAGGACAATGAAGTTATTGGCTAACTTTGTCTGTATAGTTAGTTAAAAAAATATCAGCTATTCGTTTTTTTTTTTCAATTTTCAATTATTAATTTTCATATAATCATATTGTATACGTACCTAATTTTATTTTTATTTCACAATCACAGACTAAGATTTAGTATAGTGAAAGTTTAATTTCCTATATCTTTATGTAATAAATGATTTATTATTTATTTATTCGCATTCGTATATTAACGAAATAATAGATAGTTTCCAAACAGGATTATTTTTTTTAAAAACATAATACATTTCTGGAAAATTTTCAAAAATTGAACTTAAAATTTTCAGTCTATTTCATGTATAGTTAATCTGCTTTCTTTAATTGTTTGTAGTATATTTTATAAATATTGTACGATTATTTTATTACTCGAAAAATTAGTAGTTATCGACTTACTCCACCCCAAAGACTAGCAATAAAAAATTAATTCTGTTCTTTGAAAGTCATAACATGAATTAATAAATGTTTTTCTCGTTTTAAAATTTGTTTTTACAAATGCTTATGCTCCATTTAAAACTATAATGTTTTCTTCTGTTAGATGCCAAAGTTCGTATCAGTTATCCGAAAATACCTCAAATATAATAGAAGACACGAATAAAAAACATTCAGATTCAATCATAAGTTCAATATAACCAATATAAATGAATTTTATACCATACTCATATCAATGATTAAGGGCCGCTGAAGCATACTGATTTAATTTAAATTCAAATTATTATTTTTAGCTCTATCGATTGATGGTATTTGACCGGGATGAGGGAAAACTCAAAGCAATCCAATACGATATTAGGTCTCCCTAACCTGTTGTTCAGGTCGTTTCATTTTTTTTTCCATTATGCAGATTATAATCGACCGAGAAAACGTTTTGTAATGAATATATTTAATGTGGCTTTTATGATGTTTGCGGCACTCCTAAGGCACTAGGCCATACATTTTTCCACAAAAATAGGTTTCAACCGAAAATTCTTTTGACATAATGGAAAAATAAACTCAATAATTGGTTTTCAGTGCACATTTATGATAATATTTTCAGCTGTAGATTGCAGTATTTTGTTAATAAATTAAACTGTCTATATTTAGGATCAGTTTTTTTAAAATAAAAGTTTTTTTTAATATATGCGTTTTCTTATTTTTTAGGTTATTTTATTTTATTATCTATTGTATATACTTTTGATTATTATTTCGTTTCTATTTATTTATTTTTATTTTTGTACATATAGTGTGAATGTCATCCTACCTCACTATAACCAATGTCCAAGAGACAGATTGTTATAATAGTCAATAAAGAAATAAAAAAAAATTATGTTTTATTTATTACCCCGTTTATTATTCCAACCAAGGGATAAATAGGTAAATGTATACCTTCGTATAAAATCAGGTGGAATCCGGTATATGAGAATATCTTCTCGATAAAATAGTTCTATAGAAATAAAATAAAATGTCATTAAAAATCTCATCTGAAAATGTATTTTTTTTATTTTTTAATTTGATTAATATTGTATATAGGTATGAATGTGTTTTATATATTTTAATTTCATTTAGCTTTTCTTTATTTTTTTCTTTCCTCTTCTTTTTTTTTCTTACCTATGTTATCATTTGTATGTATATATTGTGTGAATGTTTTAATGTAGCCCTAATATTAATGCCCTCCAATGCGGCAGAATGTATTATTTTTCAAATTAAAAAAAAAAAAAAAATTGAGTTACCTCTACGGTGTGGGCGTATTTTTGCTACCCTCATCATTTTTTTTTTTTAATGATGGGTAAATTTACAGTTCTTGAATTAATTAAGTTTGAAAGATGAGAGTTTATAAATTGTTTGAGATGGCCTTAAGAATGTTTCAACTATTTTATTCCACCCACACCAGATTTTTAGATTAAAAAAAAGAGAAAGAAATTAAGTAGTTCAATGAAAACTGAAAAATTCCATTTAATTTCTTCTATTACGTTTATTTTTTTTTTTTTTTAGGGAGCACTAATGAATTGAATATTTAAGAGGATTGTTAGTTAGGGAATCTTATTATGTATTTATAAATGCTCAAAACAGACCGCGCTGAAAGACGTTTTATAGTTTATAGAATGAGAAAAATAATTAATAAAAATAATATGAATAAAAGGGTTATTAACCCTAATTCAAAACTTTAATTGCCAAAAATCAATTATCAATAATTGATTATGTTTGAATTTGATTAATTATGCAATAAATGTAAAGTCATCTAAAAAAGAATCGGAGAAATTATGAGAAGAAGTTAAATAAAATGACTTCATTTATTCCCAGAATCTTCTATTAAAGTTAATAAATTGGAAGATTCGATGCATATTAACGAAAAGGGGAGGCTATAGACGTAGGGTCGTTGATTTCAATGGAACTTTTTTTTGGGGAGATGAGAAATGTCGAAAAATATTAGAACGCTGTTCCAGAATTCTTTCTAATGCGCCCTAGGAGCCGAGAAATGTTTTTTATATTATTGTTTTTTCCTTAACTCTGCTGGGATTTCTAAGTTATAATATATCATTCAATTTGTTTTTGTGTTAAATAAGAAAAATGTACTGCATATTGCATTTAACGAATTGAAATGTTTATTAAACATTACAAAAACTAAAATACACACTTAATAAAGAAGCCTATTAAATTTATTTATAATAAATAAATAAACAAAAAGAGATTTAGATCTGTTTCAAGCGTTCTTTAAAATTCAAAGAATAAGCATTTGCTTTGAAATTAAAAAATATAAATTTTGGACTTATTTTATGAAAGTATATTTTTTTAATTCTAAAGTATTTATAATGATGTAGAGATGGTTGACCGTGATATAATATGAGGAGCAGTTGATCGGAGGAGGGGGAGGGGTAGGTCGAATAAATACTAAATTATAGAAATAGTATTATTTAATTATTATGCCGACGTTTCGACCCACTTTGGAGGCCTTCATCAGGGCTACAAAGGTACATAAAAATATAAAAGGTACATGGTGAAAATGAAATAAATGAATAATAAATAGATATTAAATAAGAAAAAGGTGTCTAAGGTCTCTGATATCATCTTATTATTTCTTAATCAGACAACTTTTTCTTATTTAATATCTACTTATTATTCATTTATTTTATTTTTACTATATATCTTTTATATTTTGTATCTTTTGTAGCTCTGGTGAAGGTCTGCAAGGTGGTTCGAAACGTCGGCATAATAATTAAATAATACTATTTCTATAATTTAGTATTTATTTTACAGCACTCACCCCCCTCCCCAATTAACTGCTTCTCATAAAGTATTTATAAGTGCTCAGAATTTTATACCTACAACGGGTGGTAAGATGAATTATTACTATTCCAAACCATATTATCGACTTTTAAATTTTAAGTGTTTATATAGAAAACATA